TTGCTGGGGAGAGTATGACAATTACTATGAATACTAATGCAGCATTATGGCAGAGGTACCTCACAAAAATAAAAATCCTCCCCAATAATACTAAACATTCTATTCTGAAGTGTACAGATCCATTTGGGGGCTTTATTCTTCAGCGTGGACGAATAATATCCCAACTGAAATTTTCAAACATTATTGTGTGCTAATGTAAACAATCCATTTTGACAACATTTCCAAAAAGCATCTCCAAAAAATGTTTCAAACTTCATTTCAAGTTAAAATGGTGCTATTTAGAGTTGTGTTCTACATTGTAAAAAATAGCCCACCACCACCACCACCACCACCACCACAGAGTTACCCTCCATTTATAGCTTGTTGGTTTGTAACTGACTACTCTACCGCGCTCTAGCAGAAACAAACAATAGGAGAAATAATTGTAAAATACTAAGACACTAGTTCCCAATAATTTACACAGCATAGAGGAGTGTATGTGGGGCACAACATACACAAGAGACTGCTGGGAACACCTAATAGGAATTATAAGCATTTATTTTGTCACCAGTATATTGTTGAAAGGTTGATGCTTTGTCTTTAGCCATGTACTATGAAGTGCAGAGAGTACAGGAATGCCAGAAATGCATGAATGTAGTCTGCAGTGATGGTAGATACCCGTGGTATGGGCCTCTATTGAAAATCACATTCCCATAACTGAACAATAAATTTTAGAGTACCTCGACCAATGATGGAGGAGCCCAAAACCAAACAACCGTTGCTTGCTCACAGGCGCTACGCTCTAAGCTGCAAACTCTATGGATCTATACTCTGAGGAATAATAAAAGCTGGGTTATTCACAGGGACAGAAATAAATAAGATTGGAGAAACTCTCGCTTTGAGCTAGATGGGGGGAAAACACACAAAATGAGTCTGATAAATTGCGAAAAGAATCGAATGATTAGCATTGGTATTTTCTTCTTGTTTTTGAACTCGATCCATGATGAGCAAACTGCCTTCCAGTTGACATTCAAAAGCAATTTCATGAAAGCTATCCAAATCTCCAAACACTATTTGATGTGATCTCTACACAGCAGAATGAGGGATTCATGACAATAAACGCCAGCGCATCTAGTGATTAAATACAAAAAACAATCTAGTTACTTTTCTGTATGGCTCAGTTGTTACAGACGCAAAACATATTAACATTTCCTGTGGTTAAACACACAAGGGACAACAGATCCCTTGTATAATTTTTATTGACACGCTTTAGGTTTTTATTGCCTGGTCGCAACATTAATTTCATGTACTTTTATTTATTTTTTTTAATACCGTTAAGCTATCAATCAGGAGAGAACTGGAATTACTTTTCAGTGAACGGTGGTTCACTTTCAATTTCTATCATCTCTCTTTAGCTGCATTTCATGCACTTTGTCATCTAACCACACAATGTACCACCGATGGGGGTCTTCACAGCATCACTGTTGCTAGGCAACTGTGCTTTACAAGGCTAATTCTGTCTGCTGGTAACTCCTACTGGTAGCCACAATTCCCTTTAATAAATAGATAAGGAAATACAACCCTATTGATGGGTGCTTTGAAGTCCCCCCCCCCATGTTTTAGGAGAGAAATTCGCACAATATGGCTCTTAGTACAGTCTAGTAAATAAGTATATATATATACATCATTTTAGTACGCACATATTGCTTTTCAATTCACAAAAGATTGTTTGACAGAAGGCTTTATTTTCTTCTCACTGTATTCAATATTTTATTTTCAACAGCAAAAGTTACATCTGTGCACAACAGAGTTAATACAAAATGTAGTAGCGACAGTGGGCAAATAAATCCATCAAACTGTGTATGGCAAATATGATGCAGAGATAGAGAGCGAGCAATAAAGAGACCGAGAGAGACATGCCTATTGATTTCATTGATGTTTAGGTGCCGGGCACTGGATGGAGCACAGAGATGTGAAAGACGCATCCTTCAGCAAATTGCACGTAAATGAGTTTGTTTAATGGATACATCTGTTATTAGAAACATTAGCAACAAATCAGCTTTATCAAGAAATAATTGTAGGGATGGCCTCGGATGAAGGATAAAACATGGACCTGCAACTATTGCACATGCGACCATGATGGGCCAGAAAGATGTATTACTCTGGAAAGGTAGACAAGTGATATTTAAAATGAAGAGTGACAGGCGCAGTTATTCATATTAAAATTATGCAAATGACGCAAGCCTATGAAGCGTGATGTAGTTAACACCTGGAAGCAATAAAAAAAAATATGAAGTATCACTGTTAACACTTTATTTAAGTTTAAATGGTATATCTCAGAGCCATGTTGCCATGGCAACCTCCAACTGCCATTAATAAACAGGAAAAACTTTAAATTTTTCAACAAACCGCTTATTTACCATGGGAGAAATAAAATTGAAATTGTGAAAAATAAATAAAAATAAGTAAGCAATAGAGAAAAAAGACCTTGCTGATTGTTGGAATAATTTCTCAGATTTGTTAAGGAGATTATTTTCTAGTTGAATAGTTCCTATTCAAGGGATAGGGAATGAAAACACGGCATAAATTCAGTAGCAAATAGAGGGAGAAAATTAATGTACAACTTATAACCAAGATGGATGAAAATAAATGTGATGGAATTTAGGGATAGACCCCACCATACATGTCAACATGTAAAGAACGATAGCCAGTGGAATTGTAAATTTAGATTGAGTGTGCTGTCTTATCGGTTGACTGAAAAAAATGGCCCTGGGGTCCACCCTGTATATTTGTGAATACTGTAACATTCTGGACTTCCTTTACATTTAAATAACCGTGTAACGCCAAGAACATTCGTAGACCAATTCAGCTGAAGCAATCACATAGATGGAAATGGAAACAGATTTTTCTCTCTTCCTCATGCATGTCGTGAACAGTGTTAATGACACTACGGAAAATTAACATTCAATGCACCTTAGTGACGCTGTAGAAAACTGACTAGTGTAGGCAATTGATTTAGGGGAATAGAGTGAAATAGCCACCACGGCACAGCTGAACAGGTATATTGGTGGCACATATTCAATGAGTCAAAGTAACAAACAGAGTCACTAACTAATTCATCCTGCCCAACAGGAAATTTAATTTTCTGTAAAACTTCTACACTTTACTCTTTTTGATTGGCCTGGAAGGAAACACCATTTCTGGCATTTATTTTTTTTTTTTTTTTAAATACGAATAGAAAAAAAAATCAATACACATTACTTGTAATGACGCTCGCTTGAATGTAGCAATTAAACATTGCGATCAATTGTATTCTGTTACTTCCTTGAGTAGCATTTATAGAAGAAAGAGAAAAAACGTCTACTCCAAGTAACACCTGCATAGTTTATGTACACGATGTGATCAGGAAACAGACAAGCAATTTGACAGGATCAAAATCAAATGAAGAAAGAGGAACAAGCAGAAGGTGATTTGCAAGTAATCTATACTTTCTTTAACAACAACATTGTTTGGCTTCACGCTACTATAATAACTCGTACATCGTGTAATCCTTCCACTACAATGAATGCTTATATCAAATTATTGTCAAAAAATAGCGAGCCAAACTCATCCAATTGTATACAATCTTTAATGCACACATCGATAAAATTAAAACTTTCAAGTCTTCTTTTGTCTGGTGGTAAAAGCCAAACCAACAATTGCCAAAATGAAATGATGCGTGTCATCTATTCATGGGGTACACTGAATGAGGCGACATAAAATCGCATGGCTAAAAAAAATAAAAGGTGGCAAACTGCGTTAATGCATACAAAAATTATATTCACATTTCATACAATCTGTTTATGGAGAAACCTAACACAAACCATGCTGTGGTTGGTGGTAGGAAGATGGCGGTACATTAAATTCTACCATTACAGCATGTTAACACGCATCAATCATACAAGTGGAGCCAATAATCCATTGTATTCCAGCCGTACATATCAAGGGTCGGCTGACGTGTAGTCACCCTTTTGTGGTTGGCAAATAATTTATGTGGCCAAAACCCCATTAAAAAAAGATAAA